CCTGATCCTAGATCAGCACTCCTTGTCTGAGACGCTTGACACATACGGCCCCAGGACTCCATACAATTGAACCATATACTGTATCATAAATACTCAACAAGAGGGCTGTGCTCAAACAGTGAAATCAACATTTGATTCCGGACAGAGGCTAAACTACATTAGGGAATTCCCGTATGGAGTGTTCGCAAACAACATTGTTTATTGACACAGTCCTGGAGTGACTGTCCTGAAGCCTGTTTTCTTTTGAACAGGCATTGCCAAGTCAACCTAAACAGCAGGATCCTCAATCACCCCCCGACCAAGCAGCAATGTTTTTACTGCAAAGGATAACAAGGAGGTCTACTTTTACTAGACAAAGAGTGCTCAATTGTATGTTCATCCAGCCAAAGTAATGATACATTGTAGTTAATTCCGTTACTCAAATAGTCTATTGCCATGGACCTTGGTGGGCCCCTCTAAGTCAGTCCACCAAGCAGACAACAGCTGAACTTCCATCTCCAGCGGCACGTCTTGCTCGTGAATATCATTGTTTCATCCAAACACAGTGCTCACACACTGCTAGAATGGAGGTTTACACTCTGTGGGTTATAATTAGACTGATTATGATCAGATCAAATCTCACAACGTTTGTGAGTAGATTCATAGTCGATAGCATCTCAGTGAAGATTAAGAGAAATTCACAAAAGTTCACAGAACATTATGGTGTTATGTTGTAACAGTTACTCTAGCTCTCACTCTCTCCTTTGTTCTTATTAACGATTCAAGCTGCCTGACAACAGAGAAAGATCTCCCTGATTAAAGGAGCGAACAAGAAGAGATTCACATTTAAGTCATTTTAAATGGCTTTGAGATGATTTCATTTTAACAGCTACTCTCTGTGACAAACATGTTTCCCAAATGGCACCCTATTCCCTATTTAGTGGACTCACTACTTTTGACCAGTGCGACACCCTATTCCCTATAGTGCACTACTTTTGACTAGAGCCTTATGGGCCCTGATCAAAAGTAGTGCACTAAATAGGGAACAGGGTGCCATTTGGGACATATTCAAAGGTTCTAGTATCTAAAGACTATGCACCTTTAATGAGAACCTCTAGGCTCAGTGACTAGACCACCAGGAGTTCATTCATTGCCCTTATGATAACCAGACTCTACCCCAGGAGGACTCCTATTGGTCTGATTGATCCAAGGAAATGACTGTCTGCCTCATGACATATATCCACTTACAGTGGCAGGCCTTCATTAATGTCTCTGTGTGTTTTACAATCAGCGGGCAAAGACAGACAGATCTCCGAATACACTGCATTCCTCAGGGCACTGCTTGGAAGGGGACATGTGGAAAAGTACACCTCTTCATTGAAACACGGCAAGCAGGCAGGGAGAGAGAGGCAGCCACATTAATATCAGGGGTTCTATAAATCTATCCACTGTCTATGCAGTTCCTCTGACTTTACCCATGCTGAGCCGTGGCAGCTTGAGGAGAGAGCGCTCCTGGCGCTTTTCCTGTCTGTGGCCTACCTCTGCCTTGAACACTGCTGGCTCTGCTGCAATGTGAATTCCTGGAAAATATGAACTTGTGTCGACTTGCAAGGCTCAAACTAATACAGCAGGAGTTTTTTTCCCTAACACCATAAATAACTAAAAACAACACCTTTGTTTCTGAGTGGCAAAAGGATATAGTTGAAGCAGAAGTGTCGAAAAATATATTTTAGAGAATGGTCATCGGGAGTGAGGTGAAACCCTCAACCCTGACCTAGTATGAAGTCAACCAGTTAGAATAACACTTACACGATGTGTTGAAGGTCAATGGAAGGAAAAAGTGACATAGGTTTCTATAAATCTAGCAGTTTATACAAGGGTAATGAATCTAAATCTCTGCTTTGTCTTGGTCTAAAAAAGTTACTTGATGTTGTTCACATCAAATACAACAAAAATATATTTTAAATTAAATACCCCAAAAATCGAGAGTAGAGAGAACAGTTGACTTTTTATTTGTATAGTTAGTGCAGAAACTCACTTTTCAATTTATTCCAATTTCTACACATACTGTCACTGGAAAATAACAACATGTAGAATACAAAAGTTTAATCAATGAACAAGCAATTATGAAAGTCAAAATTCTGTCTCTGAATCCAAACAAATGCTGACGAATTATCTTTAGATCATTGTCTTGCCTTGAATCAAGAAAACGACAAAGCAACTCTTCCATTTTGACAAGGGCTGTTTAAACATACATACAGTAACAGTGAAAAACTCCTGGCAGCCCAACAAGTCCTAAAGTTGTTCTATGGGGAAAATAAAGGCTCAGTCCTTGATTGGTCATGCTCATGCATACAGTATACACTAAGTGGCCAGTTTATTAGGTACACCCATTTAGTACCGGGTTGGACCACCCTTTGCCTCCGGAACAGCGTGAATTCTTCGGGGCATGGATTCTACAAGGTGTGGCGTTCAAATGTTGCTCAATTGGTATCATGGGACCTAACGTGTGCCAGGAAAACTTTTCCCACACCATTACACCACCGCTACCAGCCTGTACCGTTGACACCAGGTAGGATGGGGCCATGGACTCACAATGCTTACGCCAAATCCTGACTCAACAGGAACCGGGATTCGTCGGAACAGGCAATGTTTTTCCACCTTCAATTGTCCAATGTTCATGATCACATGCACACTGTAGCCATTTCTTGTCGTTTTTAACTGATAGGAGTGGAACCCGGTGTGGACATCTGCCGCAATAGCCCATCCGTGACAAGTTGTGCGTTGCGTGATGCTGTTCTGCACACGACTGTTCTACTGCGCCATTATTTGCCTGTTTGTGGCCCGCCTGTTAGCTTGCGCCATTCTTGTCATTCTCCTTCGACCTTTCTCATCAACTAGCTATTTTTGCCAACAGGGCTTCTTTTTTGTTTGTCGCACCATTCTCAGTAAACCCTAGACACTGTCGTGCGTGAAAAACCCAGGAGGCCCGGACGTTTCTGAGATACTAGAACTGGTGCGCCTGGCACCAACGATCACGCCACATTCAAAGTTGCTTAGGTCACTCGTTTTACCCATTCTAACATTCAATCGAACAGTAACTGAATGCCTCAATGTCCGTCTGCCTGCTTTATATAGAAGGCCACAGCCACGTGACTCACTGTCTGTAGAAGCAAACCATTTTTGTTAATAAACTGGCCACCGAGTGTATCTCATATATGAATGACCACATTTGGTCTGATTTCGTGCTTTGGTAGACTGCAACCTAAACTTAACATGGTAAAGTGGTCAATCCTACTGCTTACGTAAAGAATGCCTAATATTGAATCAGAACTCAGTCATAATAGTTCCATTATACCAAGTTTTTCTCCCTTAATGTGATATGCTTTTGTACAAAAACTACATTTAGGTTAAATGAAAAATCTAATGGTGCTGACTCCACAGACAGAACTAGTAGCTCCGAGGATAGAGTGATCCTGTGCAGTGTGTATTCACTGTCATGGTAACAATATTAACGATGAACCCTCTGGCAAGGAATCATCTGGTCATAAACCATGGCATATTGGCAATAAATTGTAGCGATGTCATCTCTCATCGTACTCTCTCTCTCTCTTTTGCCCAACAATTTCTTGTCTTACAGATCCCTGAAAGGTAAGTAGCAACAAAAACATACTCTAAAAGAAGGGTAAGACACAGTACACTTGAATACCTTAGACCTATACACATAAAGAGTGAAAATGTACAACGTGTTTGGGTACAACACACTTCATAAGTAATTGCTATTATTAATCACAGTGAAGATATGTTTTGTTTCCCCCCCCAAAAAACAGAGATCTGATCTGCCTATTCCAAAGAACGTAGGTAGAGAGTCAAAAGAAATGGGCATTCTAACATCCAACTCACTTCAGAGAGTTGACTTATCAAAGAGACAAATGGATGGATTCATTGTCAGCATTGTATGTGATTGTGAATAGCCATTCTGCAAAACATGACTATATGTAACAAATCTATACGCAACAAATGCTTTAATTGAAAGTGCATACAAAAGCCCTGTATATTAAACAGATAAACATAATATTATACTTTCTCGATACTGCACCTCATACGAAAAAAAGTCGTAACAGGTTTTTCCATTTGCAAACTACTCAAACAACAACCAATGTAACATATAGTTTACATGGATAACTCCCATATCCAAAGTGCTTTTCAGAGAGATGGTAGGCACGTTCCTCATTTTATCACTATAAAATGTTCATAAATAATAGTCTCGGGTGTCAGTTCAGCTCCTCACCATGAAACAGGATGGGGTTCGTCCTCCAAACAAATAACCCCCACATTTCCCTTTTTCATATATTTTGTGCTTGATACCTGTATTCCATGTTGTGCATGTCCATTTACCTTTTTCATAACATTCCAGTTACCATCTTATTACCATGACCATAGTCTTATTTTCCACACTCAAAAGTCATTATGCTTTTGTTACAATAGTCCCCACTTGTAGTTACACGGTTAACTGACTAGGGAGAGTGTTTCCCTAATTGGGGGTTGTAGCATGTTCCTAGAAGGTCTTGGCATTGGGTTTTGAGGCTAGAAACAGTTGTTATGCTATTTTCTGGTTCAATAGCTAAAGTCTTGAGGTGGGTCACTGTGCAAACACGTTTGGGAACCACTGCTTTAGAGGCAAAGATCTCCGTGCCGATGACTGAGAATGGTACCAAGCTATCTGATTGTCTTCTATGAGATGGGACCAAGCATTCTGTTCTAGAACGTTCTGGGAGCTGAAATGTAACTTTTAACCTTAGATGTGACATTCAATATTCCACTCTGGAGAGCTGGAACAGTTGTTGGGTAAGTTCCTCCAGTGGGTTTCTAGAAAAAGAGCCTAAAAGAGCCTCAGTTTCAGGGTCATAGAGCTCTATGTGGCGAGCACTGAAGAAATGGCCATTCTGGACTGTTCTACAGCTTGAGAGAAGAGTTACTGCAGCTCTGTCCAAGATGATCCTAGATAAGACACTAATCTCTCAGCGTGCTCCTGAATTGAACTGTGGGAGCTTGATCTCAGTGCATCTTTCGTGTGAGGCAGAAGAGGTCAGGCCTGAAACCAACCCAGCTTCTCTGTGGTAATGCTAGTGACAGAGACTGAGTTCTTTCCTCACCGAGCACTTCTTACACTGCACCACGCAGCACCAGTGGAAGCGGCAGAGGCAATTCTCCTCGAACACCACCGTCTCGTCTCGGTAGCCACGCTCACAGCACAGCAGGTCACAGCCACTCACGTCCATGGCTGTGCTGTTGCACATGCGGCCCCGCGTTCCCAATGAGCCCGTCTTCCTGTTGGGCGAGCAGAAGTCGGGCGACTCGGCCGAGTAGATCAGGTCCTGTTTGTCCGGAGGCTTGATGTTCTGGCCTACGGGAATCAGGGTCTTGCCATCGTTGCCTCCCATCACCTTGGAAGCTCCATTGAAGCTCTCCAGCAGGCGATCACCCACCTCGCGAAAGTGAGGCATCTTTTTCCAGCAGGTCCGAAGTGTGCAAGACCCAGACAGGCCATGACATTTACATTCAGTCCTCATATAATTCCTCACCGCCTGTAGTAAAGACACAGAGATAGATAGGTGAGATAAAAGCAGACCCTATTCAGAAGGAATTTACCCCCCCCCCCCCCCCCTCCCCCCAAACCCTGCCTCTAACCTCCTAAGTCTTTAACCTCACTTTGTTGTTATTCTACATGTGGGCAACCTTTGCTTCTTGTTGTTGTGTTCAAAACCTGTCTCCCTGAGACTATAATTGGCCCAACTACACAACCACTCCTCCCCATTTACCTGTCTCTGACCCCTTGGAAAGGTTTTGGCTTGTGTGCCAATGTAATATACTGTGATGAAGCAATACTGACAGGGGTGAGCAAAGTCCCAGGAAATTCAAAGCAATAACCTGTAATTAGCTTCTCAAAAGAGCAGACAACCTCCTAAATGCTCCTCTCTCCCTATCAACAAGGAGGCCATTGTAAATCCAATATTTCATGTTTTCAACATACATGTACTGTATTGAGTCCTTGACAAAGACCTGAAAATATAAAAGTTTTACAAGGAGAAAAATTAGCAGCTACTTGCCTTAAAGCCTTGAAAGCAAACTGTGTGGCTCACACTTGTTTTCTTTTATCAGAAATATGATTGTTGTTAAAATATCAGTTTACAGTGTTACAAAACTATGGCTAGAGGCTGTCTTGGATGACGCATTGGATGAAAAGAGGAACATTCAGCTAAACAATGAATACTTTCAGCATCTAGGCCTAATTATCAACTTTGTTTCTAAAAAAAACATCAACATAAATGAAAGAATTTAACTTGATGATAGTGAGCATAATAAAAAACTTTTCAGAAGTATCCTTACCTGTACTTTTGCTTAGATCAGCACAGGTCAAATAAAACATAGGAGATGAGTGTGTTTGATTTATAAACAGTTCATTCACAGCCTGGGGTGGTCTAGCGTTCAAAGCTGCTGCCTCTGGAACACATGTACTGTACCGCAGCCAGCAAGGGGCTCTTTCAGCATTATTTCCTCTCTATCTCTACCCTTTGTAATAAAGGATTAAAAAGTACAAAAGAAGTGCCACAATCCTTATCAAAACAGAAAAGTGAATTCACTACCAGTCGTCCTGCTTCGTTGTTGTGGAGATCGATCAACGTCCTGATGTCACTCTTGCCCTTTTTCCTCTTGGCGTCCATGAACTGCTTGGACTTCTCGTAGCCAAACTCCACGTCGTCTCCGCAGCCACCCCACTCCCACTTGACTCCCTCGCCAGAGGTGGTGGTGGAGGAGGAAGCAGGCCGGGGGGGAGCCCTGCTCCTGGTCGCCTCACAGCCACACTGCAGTAGCTCCCCCATACTGCAGGCCTGAGTCACTGTGTGGGTCACGCCAGCCGCCGTGATGGCGTACACAAACGCTGTCTCCCGGATGTCTGAAAGACCCCCCCACACACACACACACACACACACACACACACACACACACACACACACACACACACACACACACACACACACACACACACACGGGTGTCATCAGAGGAGCGAACAGAGCAGTGACCCAGGTCACATAGTGTGCTGATACCCTTGGTATCTGAGATAGGAGGGCTAGTAAACAGCTGCAGGGCTATTTCTGTAGTAGGGGAGTTTACCACTCTAGCCCAGAGGGATGTATGGCTAAAACTGCAGATTGATCCTCTGTCTTTATCTTAGGGACCACAACATCATTCTAATGTGTATTGTTCTTTGTTGCTTTGGAAAAGACAACATGTCTATGCAGTGTTCCTAGCTGTTATAAGGGAGAAGAGGAGGTAGGCCGTTAGCGGTCCATTGTGTCGAAGTTGAAATGAATGACATTTATTTTCTGGAGCTGGAAGACATGAGCGTGCAGTCACCGCTCAGCCCTGTGCCAAATCCATATCGCATGATTCAGTGAATGGGATTCATTAAATCTAGTGAAACGGAATCGGTGCCGTGCGAGGGCCCTGCAGACCAGCACCCTGTGATATTAATACCAGCTGTCCGTCTGCACACCCAGTGATGGCTCCATACAGGCCTGTTCTCTGTGTGTGGCGTCTCCCTGCCAGCCCCAGCCTAGCCCCAGCCCCAGCCCCAGCCCCAGCCCCAGCCCAGCTTGGACCAGCACCTGAACACACAGTCCTCCTCAGTCCTCCTTACATACTGCTCCAATAAAGCCCTTCCCTGCCTGCCTGTTGTGTGCATTGTGAAGGCCATTCCCCATCACACACCATCACTGTTTCATCTCAGGTTTAGGCTGTAATAGATCTCGGGGGAAAACAAATGTTCTCCTCCCAGGCCAATTGAGTGTCCAGAAGGGGCAGAGCTGACTAACTCAATAACTTCTGTTGAGACTCCTCTTAGACAGGCCAGTCATGTCTGCTTCTGCAGGAGGTTTCATATAGACTGCGTCCTAAATGGCACCATATTCCCTTTATAGTGCACTACTTTTGACAAGGGTCCATAGGGCTCTGGTCAAAAGTAGTGCACTACACTGAGTGTACAAAACATCCTAATATTGAGTTGCGTTGGATGTCCTTTGGGTGGTGGACCATTCTTGACACACACGGGAAATGGTTGAATGTGACACAAACCGGTGCGCCTGGCACTAATATCATACCCTGTTCAAAGGCACTTAAACCTTTTGTCTTGCCCATTCACCCTATGAATGGCACTCATACATAATCTACAGTGGGGGAAAAAAGTATTTAGTCAGCCACCAATTGTGCAAGTTCTCCCACTGAAAAAGATGAGAGAGGCCTGTAATTTTCATCATAGGTACACGTCAACTATGACAGACAAAATGAGAAAAAAAATCCAGAAAATCACATTGTAGGATTTTTAATGAATTTATTTGCAAATTATGGTGGAAAATAAGTATTTGGTCAATAACAAAAGTTTCTCAATACTTTGTTATATACCCTTTGTTGGCAATGACACAGGTCAAACGTTTTCTGTAAGTCTTCACAAGGTTTTCACACACTGTTGCTGGTATTTTGGCCCATTCCTCCATGCAGATCTCCTCTAGAGCAGTGATGTTTTGGGGCTGTCGCTGGGCAACACGAACTTTCAACTCCCTCCAAAGATTTTCTATGGGGTTGAGATCTGGAGACTGGCTAGGCCACTCCAGGACCTTGAAATGCTTCTTACGAAGCCACTCCTTCGTTGCCCGGGCGGTGTGTTTGGGATCATTGTCATGCTGAAAGACCCTGCCACGTTTCATCTTCAATGCCCTTGCTGATGGAAGGAGATTTTCACTCAAAATCTCACGATACATGGCCCCATTCATTCTTTCCTATACACGGATCAGTCGTCCTGGTCCCTTTGCAGCCCCAAAGCATGATGTTTCCACCCCCATGCTTCACAGTAGGTATGGTGTTCTTTGGATGCAACTCAGCATTCTTTGTCCTCCAAACACGACGAGTTGAGTTTTTACCAAAAACTTCTATTTTGGTTTCATCTGACCATATGACATTCTCCCAATCCTCTTCTGGATCATCCAAATGCACTCTAGCAAACTTCAGACGGGCCTGGACATGTACTGGCTTAAGCAGGGGGACACGTCTGGCACTGCAGGATTTGAGTCCCTGGTGGCGTAGTGTGTTACTGATGGTAGGCTTTGTTACTTTGGTCCCAGCTCTCTGCAGGTCATTCACTAGGTCCCCCCGTGTGGTTCTGGGATTTTTGCTCACCGTTCTTGTGATCATTTTGACCCCACAGGGTGAGATCTTGCGTGGAGCCCCAGATCGAGGGAGATTATCAGTGGTCTTGTATGTCTTCCATTTCCTAATAATTGCTCCCACAGTTGATTTCTTCAAACCAAGCTGCTTACCTATTGCAGATTCAGTCTTCCCAGCCTGGTGCAGGTCTACAATTTTGTTTCTGGTGTCCTTTGACAGCTCTTTGGTCTTGGCCATAGTGGAGTTTGGAGTGTGACTGTTTGAGGTTGTGGACAGGTGTCTTTTATACTGATAACAAGTTCAAACAGGTGCCATTAATACAGGTAACGAGTGGAGGACAGAGGAGCCTCTTAAAGAAGAAGTTACAGGTCTGTGAGAGCCAGAAATCTTGCTTGTTTGTAGGTGACCAAATACTTATTTTCCACCATAATTTGCAAATAAATTCATAAAAAATCCTACAATGTGATTTTCTGGATTTATTTTTCTCAATTTGTCTGTCATAGTTGACGTGTACCTATGATGAAAATTACAGGCCTCTCTCACCTTTTAAGTTGGAGAACTTGCACAATTGGTGGCTGACTAAATACTTTTTTTCCCCACTGTATGTCTCAATTGTCTCAAGGCTTAAAAATCATTTTTAACCTGTCTCCTCCCCTTCATCTAAGAAGTGGATTTAAGAAGTGACATCAATAAGGGATCATAGTTTTCACCTGGATTCACCTGGTCAGTATATGTCATTGAAAGAGCAGGTGTTCATAATGTTTAGTACACTCAGTGAATATGGGTCATTCTACAGAAGTGGTGCAAATTGGGGGTTAAATGTTTTTTTCACATTTGTATCATATTTCTCCAAAACTTTAAGCACGTCTTACGACATATGTCAGATAGACATATCTACCAGCTTACGACATATGTCTGATAGACATATCTACCAGCGGAGGCTGCTGAGGTGAGGACGGCTCATAATATTGGCTGAAACGGAGTCAATGGAATGGCATCAAACACATGGACACCATGTGTTCGATGTATTTGATACCATTCCACTGATTCCGCTCCAGCCATTGCCATGAGCCCGTCCTCCCCAATTAAGGTGCCACCAACCTCCTGTGCTATCTACTACTCACACACTTTGTTTGTATTGCATATTTGAAATATTGTCCTGAATTCCACCCCACTAAATTTGTCACTACCGAAACATAGTGATAAAGTTGCAATAATGGGAGAACCATGCACAGTATTGATAATTTTGATTATCCTTCTATTACAGATAAATTTCTGAAATTGTATTTGCATACAACATTTACAAAATAGTAAAAACATGATTTTTTACCAGATTTGGAAAACATTTACATTTAATTTAGATAAATATAATCTCTATTGTTCTCTGTAAAATGTTCAATGTCGATTTTATGAATCTGAAACTTATTGATTGATTGAATTACTTATGCATCTAATTAATTATGTTGTTAGATGTTTAAATTGTAACTTTTCCTATCTTTATTGTGGCAAAATATCAGGCGTTTCGGTAGTGACCCGGCGTATACATTCAGAACTTAATTGCTTACTTAATTGATACCATATCGAATGTGATTCACATAAATAACACAATCAATACAATTATTTCTATCTGTTTCTTTCTGCCTTTTCACTGCTGCCCTGTGTTGTCTTTGACTTGACCTCCATCTTGCTCTTGTGTACCTCTTCTCCCTCTCAGATACATATTTTACTAATTTGACCTTTCCCTCTTCCTTTATTTTCGCATTTATTTCCCTTTCCTTTTTCAGATATTCTTGATATCGGGGTCAGTTTTTATCCTCTCTCTGTCCTCTCTGACTGTCTGCTTTTTGGCATATTGGCACCTTATGGATGTCCCTGTCCTTCAATAACTCAACAGAAACGACAGTACAGGGAAAAAGTGGAGTCACAATTCGGCGGCTCAGACACAAGACTCCATTCAATATAAAGGGAAAGCCACGTTGCGGACATTGGCTCTCGCTCCCGGACAAGCTAAACACCTTCTTCGCAGTCCCTCGGGGCTCACGAGGACTGTGTTCTCTCATTCTCCGTGGCCGACGTGAGTAAGTCATTTAAGCGCGTTAACCCTCGCAAGGCTGCTGGCCCAGACGGCATCCCAAGCCGCGTCCTCAGAACATGTACAGACTAGCTGGCTGGAATATTTATGGACATATTCAATCTCTTCATATCCCAGTCTGTTGTCCCCACTTGCTTCAAGATGTCCACCATTGTTCCTGTACCTAACAAAGCGAAGGTAACTGAACTAAATGACTATCTCTCCGTAGCCCTCACTTCTGTCATCATGAAGTGCTTTGAGAGGCTAGTTAAGGACCATATTACATCTACCTTACCCGACACCCTAAACCCACTACAATTCACATATCACCCCAACAGAACCATGGACGACACAATTGCCATTGTACTGCACACTGCCCTATCCCACCTGGACAACATAAACACCTATGTAAGATTGCTGTTCATCCACTCCAGCTCAACCTTTAACACCATAATGCCCTCCAAGCTCATCACTAAGCTCAGGGCCCTGGGTCTGAACCCCTCCCTGTGCAACTGGGTCCTGGACTTCCTGACGGGCCGACCCCAATTGGTGAAGGTAGGCAACAACACCTCCGCCACGCTGATCCTTAACATGGGGGCCCCACGGGGGTGCGTGATCAGCCACCTCCTGTACTCCCTGTTCACCTATGACTGCGTGGCCACGCACGTCTCCAACTCAATCATCAAGTTTGCTCATGACACAACAGTGGTAGGCATGATTACCAACACTGATGAAACAGCCTACAGGGAGGAGGTGAGAGCCCTGGCGGAGTGGTGCCAGGAAAATAATCTCTACCTCAACGTCAACAAATTGAAGGAGCTGATCGTGGACTACAGGAGACAGCAGAGAGAGCATCCCCCATCCACATCGGCTTGGTCCCTAAGACCCTCACAAACTTCTACAGATGCACTATTGAGAGCATCCTGTCGGGCTGTATCACCGTCTGGTACGGCATTGCACTGTCCGCAACCGCATGAACAATGGTCAATTTAATAATGTTTTACCCACTGTATATGTATATACTGTATTCTAGTCTTGGCTCATCCTATATAACTACTGCTGTACACACCTTATCTATACTGTCCATACGGTCTTTACACACCATTATACTATGTACAGTGGCGACCCGTCATTCAGAGCAGGTGGGGCGGAGCCCCACATCTTTAGCTAAAAATAGCTAAAAATAAAATATTTCTTGGGGGTGGGGTGTTTTGCATGTTATTTTGGCATTAATACGTGTCACAAATCAGTTTGCAAACAATGTAAACAAATAAATAATAATTGAGTTAATAAAGCTGCATACTAACATGGTCTCTTTTTTGCTTTCTTGAGTAAGGCAGCTCCAAAATGCAGGTGTTTCAGCCTAGCTCAGTGCTTTCTGTGGTGGTGGGGCAGGCAGCAGAAAATACGGAGCGTAGGGGTTGGTAATGTTCTCTAGTTGGGCCGTAATTGGCTCAGTGTTCTGTCACTCATGGGTACACTATGTCACTGCCAAATCTAAGGGTAGAGCTCGAAAATTCAAGCCCCTTGGGTGCTGCCATAGAGTTACATTAGAAGTGCCCATCCAAGAAGGCTCAAGGTCATTGGCCACAGATAAAATGATGTCAAATCACGTTATATCTACAG